CTGATTCGGGAGCCTGAGAGGGGACCTGAGGACACAGGAGACTGAGGGAGGGTCTGCTCTGAGTGTGGGCCAAGGAGGGTCCTGGTGGGAGGAGCTGTTGGGAACAGGCACACGATCCTGCCCAAGAGCCTCTGCTGGACCCTGGGAACATCAGGATGCTGAGTCTCATCAGTGAGTACAGGGGGCAGCTCAGCCTCTGCCAGCCTGTGGCCAGTGGGGCTCACTCAGCTGTGAGGAGCCCCCAGGCAGGGTCTGGGACAGTTACCCATTGCCTCCTGCTGGTCACAAGCCCACCGGATTTATTTCATTAATAAGAACATTTATACCCAAGTCACTCTGACGAACCCATTTGCATTACATAGAAAATAGATAGCTGTTAAATCTTTCCATTCTCATCTTATATGGCCTCCATAGCCATTTCTATGGGAATGCTTAATGTTTCTGCTGCTCTCCATGCAGAAAAAGGTGCCTTGAGATCTGGGCTTTCTCAAGAGTCTCACGGGGAAGAGTTGCTTGAAGCAAATATTGGGCAGTTTCTGTATGGGGATATTCCAGAGACCCACTACTAGACCCCGACTCAATGAGAAGCCCTAGTGATGTAAGAGGGGAGAAGAGAACACAGTCAGGACCCGAGAGATGAGGAAACCCACCCTCAGCAGTCCCTGTGGTCCTGAGTGGGATGAGTTGCAGGAAAGTCACATCCATGGGACCAGCTTCCCACAGTGGCCCAGGAGCACTCAGCACTGTTTCAGCCATGGTGAAGCCTCCCCTGACTCTCTCATGTCCTACATAGAGGTTTACTGGCCTCATGCCCAGAGTTGCCCCAACCCCTAACTTCCTGTCCTGATACTGCAACTGAAATGCGGGTCCCCATGACTAAGCCAGGCCAGCTCTGGGCCTCGAATTCCTCCCTGACCTGTGTCCTCATGCAGCATTTCACATTTGAGTGCCTTGTTCCTGGGACACAGTGAGCCTCAGACAGCCCTGAGCACAGACTGCTGGGGATGGAAAGGGAGGTCTCTGCTTTGAACCCTAGAAAAGCAGAGTTCATGCTTCAGGGAACTGCCCACATGCTAAAATGTCCCCAGGCTCTGACCATGATGTGAGCTAAAAAAGGCTCATTTTGCTTCGTTCAAGAAAAAAAATTCCAGCTCCACAGGCACTGGCGTTCGCACTTATGGACAAACAGCCAACACTTAAGTGTCATCAGGTGCTTTGGTTTTGTTTTCCTTTTACTGAGACTTCAGAAACAATGAATGCAAAATTGAGAAAACAGCTTTTTACAACTAGAAAGTACTTCAATATTGTTTCTGTATAGGTAGATTATTTTAAAGTTTGAAAATTATCATAGAAGAAGAGCCAGGGCAGGCCGATGTTTCTGTCCCACCTCCCCATCTGTGTGTGTCACTGTGAGAAGCATTGCCGTACCCAGTCTTACAATAATAGTCAGCCTCATCCTCAGGCTGGAGTCCAGAGATGAGTAAAAGCCCTGCATTGACCGAGGCATCTTTGGATCCAGAGAAGCGGCTGGGGACTCCAGAGCCCTGGTGCTTATATGAGTCTGAGTAGTAGCTCAGGAGATACCTGGGAGGGCTCTCTGGCTTCTGCTGGTACCAATATATTCGGTATCTACTAACATTGATGTTGCTGTGCAAAGTACAGGTGAGACTGGCTGATGCTCCAGATGTAGAAAAGGAAGGAGGCTGGATCAGCACAGGCTGGGAGAGGGAACCTGCAAACACAGACACTCATGGTTGATGGGCAGGGACCAGAGTAAATTTCAGGCATCTTTACCAGAAGAGATCCCTTCTGGTAAATCAGGCTGGGTGACTGCCCCTGGTCTCTGAGCCCTACCCCTACCTGTGCAGTGAGAGAAGAGCAAGAGGAGGAGAGGAGTCCAGGCCATGGTGGACCCAGTCCCTGACACCTGCAGTGGGGCTGGGCTGCCCCAGGCCTCCTTTTCTTCCCACCCTCTGCAGAGGAGGGGCTGCTCATGCAAATGTGTTTCCACCCAGGGACTGCCCAGTCCCTCCCTGAGCCCTGGGGATGCAGCTCAGCTCACTCTGCAGACTGAGCAGGAGGAAGGTTTGCTTCCTACCTTGGAAGGGCCCTGGGAGGAAGCACCTGCTGAGACCACACACAGTTCTGTGCTCAGGGAACGCTGCCAGGCCAGAGAAGAAACAGCTGCCGAGTCCCCTTCAGTTAGCACAGGGCCTCAGCCCCAAGGCCTAGATTTCTTTTAGTGAATGGTCCTTACTGAGCAGCTGTGTAGGAACCACAGGGCAATCCCACTGTACCCCATGCCGATTGCAGGACACACACCTCCCCATGGCCTAGCTGGTCTCGGCAGCTCACCGTCACTGTTTTACACATCCATGTTCTGATCCCCAGACACTAATTTCATCATTCTATGAGTGATTGTTTTGATTTCTCACTCCCAGAAGGAGTCTTGGTCCGTAGGATGTACAGTCATGCACATATATAGGTTTTAAAGGTGTCAGCAACCCCACAGGACATTCTAGAAAAATCTAATTGCCCACATGTGCCATCAGGGTGGGCATCACAGAGAAGGGGTCGGCTGAGGAGCCGGGTTGAAGGGTGGATAGGGGTTGTTGAGAAGAACAGTGAAAAGTGATAATTTTTCAAGAAAAATAAATGATTCATGACATGTTAAAGACAGCAATTCAGCAAAAGTTATATATACAATAGTTTCAGATGATTTGTAGAGATTCGACTCAATTTAGTATTATAGGGAAAGTAAAAGATTTGGGGCAGGCGCAGTGGCTCATGCCTGTAATCCCAGCACTTTGGGAGGCTGAGGCGGGCGGATCACGAGGTCAGGAGTTTGAGATCAGCCTGGCCAACATGGTGAAACCCCGTCTCTACTAAAAATACAAAAATTAGCTGGGTGTGGTGGTGCACACCTGTAATCCCAGCTACTCAGGAGGCTGAGACAAGAGAACTGCTTGAACCTGGAAGGCGAAGGTTGCAGTGAGCCGAGATCATGCTGTTGAACTCCAGTCTGGGCGAATACAAGTGATTCTCGTGCCTCAGCATCCCGAGTAGCTGGAGTTACAGGTGTGTGCCACCATGCCTGGCTAATTTTTGTATTTTTAGTAGCAACAGGATTTTATCATATTGGCCAGGCTGGTCTCAAACTCCTTGACCTCAAGTGATCCACCACACTCCTCAACCTCCCACAGTGAAGCGATTGCAAGCATGAGGCGCCACGCCCAGCCGTCCACCTGTATTTTCTCACTGGATGTTTTCAGTGTGTTAGGAAGATCAGTATATATTTTAACCTCAAAGTGATTGTGCAGATGAGTTGCATGTCTGAGCAAGCAAAGGCAGAGACCATCACTTTTTTGTTTTTGGCATTAAAAAATATATATTTTCATAGGTTTGGGGGGAACAGGTGGTATTTGGTTACATGAGTAAGTTCTTTAGTGGTGATTTGTGAGCTTTTGGTGAGCCCATCACCTGAGCAGTATAGATTGTACCCAGTTTGTAGTCTTTTATCACTCACTCCCTTCCCACCCTTTCCTCTTGAGTCCCCAAAGTCCGTTAGGTCATTCTTATGCTTTTGCATTCTCATGACTTAGGTCTCACTTCTGAGTGAGAACATGCAATGTTTTCCATTCCTGAGTTACTTCATTTAGAATAAGTCTCCAATCCCCATCCAGGTTGCTGCAAATACCATTAATTCATTCCTTTTAATGGCTGTGGTATATCATCATATATATATTATTTCTTTATCCACTCGTTGATTGGTGGGCATTTTGGTTGCTTCCACGTTTTTGCAATTGTGAATTGTGCTGCTATAAATGTGTGTGCAAGTATCTTTTTTGTATAATGACTTCTTTTCCTCTGGGTAGATAACCAGTAGTGGGATTGCTGGATCAAATGGTAGTTCTCTGTTTAGATCTTTAAAAAATCTCCACACTGTTTTCTATAGTGGTTGTACTAGTTTACATTCCCACCAGCAGTGTAGAAGTGTTCCTTTTTCACTGCATCCATGCCATCATCTATTATTTGTTGATTATGGCCATTCTTGCAGGTGGTAAGGTGGTATCTCATTGTGGTTTTGATTTGAATTTCCCTGATCATTAGTGATGTTGAGCATTTTTTCATATGTTTGTTGGCCATTTGTACATCATCTTTTGAGAATTATCTATTCATGTCTTTAGCCCACTTTTTGATGAGATTTTTCTTTTCTTTCTAATTTGTTTGAGTTCTTTGTAGATTCTGGATATCAGTCCTTTGTCAGATGTATAGAATGTGAAGAATTTCTCCCACTCTGTGGGTTGTCCATTTACTCTGCTGATGTTCCTTTTGCCATGCAGCTCACCAGTCATTGTCTGTATTCACACATCCATGTTCTGATTCCCAGACACCAGTTTCACCATTCTATGAGTGATTTTTTGATTTCTTTAGTTCTTTAGCTCTTTAGTTTAATTAAGCCCTTTTTTCTTTAGCTCTTTAGTTTAAGTAGTTGAACTTTGTTTTTATTGCATATGCTTTTGGGTTCTTGGTCATGAAATCCTCACCTAAGCCAATGCCTAGAAGAGTTTTTCTGATATTATTTTCTAGAAGTTTTACAGTTTCAGGTCTTATATTTAAGTCATCGGTCCATTTTGAGTTGATTTTTGTATAAGGTGAGAGATGAGGATCCAGTTTCATCTTCCTACGTATGGCTTGCCAATTATCCCAGCGCCATTTGCTGAATAGGGTGTCCTTGTCCCAGTTTATGTTTTTGTTTGCTTTGTTGGATATCACTTGATTGTAAGTATTTGGATTTATTTCTGGGTTCTCTATTCTGTTCCATTGGTCTATGTGCCATTTTTATACCAGTGTCATGCTGTTTTGGTGACTATGACCTTATAGTATAGTTTGAAATCAGGTAGTGTGATGCCTCCACGTTTGTTCTTTTTGCTGAGTCTTGCTTTGACTATGTGGCCTTTTTTTTGGTTCCATATGAATTTTAAGATTGTTTTTTCTAGTTCTGTGAAGAATGACAGAGACCATCACTTCCTCAATGTAGCCCATGTCTCCACTTGTGCTAATTGCAAAAGGCCCCTGGATTTCTAGACTTATAAGGTGCTTTAGTAAATAATCTAGAATCAGGTCACTCACTTCCTTCAGACACTCTTTCCTCTAGGCATTGGAGAGATCCCGCTCATTCAGATGTGGCACATTACTCCCTGGCTTAAACCCCTTCAATGGCTCCTTGTTGTTTATATAAAACCTGAATCCTGTGGCCCCAGCAGCATGACCTGAACATTGTGGCCCCTGCACACCCCCATAGCCCATCTCATACCCCCTCCTCCTTCTGTTGGGACTCTGGCCTCACTCACTTCTCTGTCCTAGGAAACCCTGAGCCCCTGTCCCTTCCATAGCCTCCACGGTACAAGGCATGTTTGGGCATGTCAGGGTGTGGCAAAGGTGGGAAGGGTAGTTTCGTGGGAGGGGCAGTTTACAGAATGGGTAGCCAGGAGTAAAAGAGGACTCTTTCCAAATAAGGAAGAGATGTGAGTTACAGATTGGGACTGGTGGGAGAAGTTGTTTATAGAGCAGGTAGCTTAGTAGAAGGGGAAAGGAAGTTGATCTCGAGAACAAAGAATGAGGAAGTCAGAAAGTAAACCTTTGAAGAGGAACTTACTGTGTCTGATAGATTCACTGGAAATATAGAGAACCCTGGAAAGGAGAAGAAGAAGGTGCTGGCTGAGGTGAAAAAAGAGAATCAATCAACTTTGGGCTTCTTCAATTCTAAGGGTATTTGAGAAGTCAAGAAAGAGATAAAAATATGAGTGTCAACTTTCAAGGACAGATGTAGAAAAAATGCCAATGAATTTCCTGTTATAAAGCCGTTGATAATTAACTCAAGAGGTTAGACGGGAGAAGTGGGTGGTAGCAAAGGAAGAGAGAACCAAGAAGGGAATTCAGGAATCAGAAATGTGGAAGGGGAGAGGGTAAGGATGGGCCACATTATAAGAAAGGCTGAAGGAGGAGCCAATAAAAGTGTTGGACAGGAGCCAGCGGGAAGGTCAGGTTTGTTGTTTGTTTGCTTTTGCTTTTGTTCTTAAAGAAATGGGAGCCTTTCCCAGATTTGCAGCTGTCCTCCCTGGTCATCTCCCTTCATGGAGTGTGGGGTTCTTCTATCATTCAAGCTGGTAAGTTCCCTATGTCCGAGAATTCTCCCAGGTTCTTGCCTGCCAAAGATCCTCCTTATTTTATACTAGTCTTATGGATATGTTGTTGTTTTTATTTTTATTATTAGAGACAAGGTCTCACTCTGTTACCCAGGCTGGAGTGCAGTGGCATGATCATAGCTCACTGCAGGTTTGAACTCCTGGGCTGAAGCTCTCCTCCTGCCTCAGCCTCCTTAGTACCTAGGACTACAAGCATCCAGCGCTATGCCTGGCTAATTCATCTTTTATTATTTAAAAAAACTATAGAGAAAAGATACTGCTATGTTGCTCTTGGCTGGTCTCAAACTCCTGGCTTCAAGTAATCTTTTTGCCTCAGCTTCCCAAAGTGCTAGGATTATACATATGAGCCTCCACTCCTGGTTGGATTTGTTATTATTCAAACATATATGTGGATTTTGTGTGGCAGGCACATGTGAGAAATGCAGAGATTGTGTCCTCACTCCAGACCCACTGAATGAGAATCTGGATTTTGTAATATCCCCAGATAATTTGTATGCACAATAGAGTTTGGGAAGTACTGTTCTAACACATGCGTGAAGACATTGACATAGTTTTCAATATAGATTGTTCCTCGTACCTGAATCTATTATGCTCCAGCAAACATCAGCAGGAATTGCTTGTTTCTCTATTTTCTGCATTGTGAGGTCACGCATAATGTACTCAAGGCTTTCCATAGAAAATTGCAGGCATTTTGTTTGACATCACTAAATCCACAGAGATGACCAGGATCATTTTAATAATAACCCAATATCATATATTTGTCTGACAAGCAAATTATTTGAATTACCCAAAATTATAATTTTCCCTTGGTATTCAAATCAAAATAAAATTAGCAACTACTCAAATATTTTACCCTTTCAAAGAAATGGAAAACTACTTACATTAACATTAAATGACAGAGCAAAAAGATGTATAAAACCAGAGGAATGAGCACAAGGTTTGATAACTATTGTGAAAATATTGACAACAAAAATGAAAGAATGCATCCAAATGAAGAAATGTACTTCTGTTGATTATCTGGGATAAGGTAGCTTTGCAGAGAACTTGGTGATTTTTAATACTTTCTGATTTCACATAATAAGCATGTATTGCTTTTAAAGTAACTCAATAAAACAAACTTTAGAAATATACAAAAGTAGAGTTTCTTTTCTTTACTCTTAGCTCAGAAAGCCCATACTTTGAAGATGCTTCTTTCTGGAGGAAGTGCATTTAGCCTCAGCCTTTAGATCTGATCCAGCTGTTAGTGCTCCTTTTAGAATACAAAGCAATAAACTTCTGATTTTTTTGATCCAGTTGTTCCCAGATCATTCTAACATTTCCTCCACTTCAGGGCTTAAGCAGGTATAGGAATTGATTCAGACCCTTTCCTTCCCCTTTCTATGGCTGGTCCACATGTAAGCTGCCTTGAGAACTGGTGTGTGTGATCATATGATCTTTATATCGCAAAGGCCTAGGGAGGTTTATGTCTTGGTTCCTCTTCTGAGTCTATCACTGTGCCAAGCACCACTATGGTGCAGTAAGCAGTAATACTCAGCATCATCCTCGGGCTGCACACCTGAGAGCATCAGGGCAGCTTTGCCCCCAAGGAGGGAGCCTGAGAACCGGGCAGGGGTCCAGGAGTGTTTGTTGCTTGCATGATAAATCAGTGTCCTGGGGGCTTGGCCAGGCTTCTGATGGAACCAGTAGGGATTATGACCCCCAATGACTGCTCCAGCTGGAGCCACAGGTGAGAGTTACTGTCCCTCCTGGGGACACAGTCAGTGAGGGTTCCTAAGTCACCACAGCCTGAGAATTCGACCCTGAAACAAAAAAACAGACACATGTTAGGAATTAGAAAGGGAGACACAGGAATCCCTTCAAAGGCTGGTATTTGAAATCTCTCTTAACCTGGGCAGCAAGTGAGGAGGTACAGGGGGAGAAGGAGAAGGAGGCCATGATGCTGATATTAAAAGTGACTCCTGGCTCCAGAGCTGGGGCTGGATTCTGATAGCTCTTTATGTCCTACTGAGCTCCCTGTGTGGAGAGGGTGTGTTGTGTGGTACTTTATGCAAATCTTTACTACCTTTAGAACCACTCAGGTTCTTAGCCCTGAGAGCATCTACACTGTGAAGAGCCAAACCAGGGTGACTGTGTGCTGTGGATTTGCCCAGTGGGAGGAAGCAACTGCTCTAACATTTCACATGAGCCAGTGAGCAACTGTGCAGGGTTTATTAGGTTTGAACCTCTTGAGCTTCTTACAGTGCAGAAGACCCAGACCACCCCCTGGTGGCTTTCCTGGATGAGAATGCATGGTCTTTCACTCATTTAACACATAACAATTGGTTTATGTTTTGACATTACCACAGTATTTCCCAGGCCAATTCACACCCATTACTTGTCTATTCTTTGCTCATTCCTATTTGCACTTTTTCTTGCTGTTGTTGAAATCCTGCCCCTGTGACTATAATTCAATTTCACAGAAGAAAATGTCTTTAACTATGTTAGTTACTTGGGCAAGATTATTCACTCCTTAGAAAATACAGTAAGATTACAAGTCCCAGCTCTGAGGTATGCAGTACAGCACCAGTTTTACAGAGGGATTACGAGATCTTGGGATGAGCAGTTGTTGGCTTATGGCACAGAATATAAGAGCAGTCACTGGAAGTGGAAGAAGAATGATGGTGAGCAGGGCATCTCTCACAGTCCTACCCAGCCTTTTAACTTGGTAAATGGATAGACTATGTTCTGTAGCATCTTTGAGAGAACATTTAAGACAGTTCAAAAACAATGACAACAACAAAAGCCATCCAATATTATTCCCCAGAGAGTCCATACCTGAAAAGAAAGAAGGACCTGTTCCAGGTTCCCACGGAGGACTGTGCCTCCCATCCTCTTTTGTCTCCAGAGGAAACAAGACATCAGCCAGAGTGTGCTCTACCACAGCATCCCAGTTCATGTCATGCACAGGGCAGTGAGATTCTTCGGAGGATACTTGGAGCACAGTCCAAAGTTAATGGAAACTATGAAGCTCTTGTCCAGTGAGATGGCTGGAAAGTAAGCCCCCTAAAAATATCTTTTTAAGCCACGTCTTGATTATAAAATATTATTTTACTATGTGGAGTCTGTTTTAGACTCTTCCCTGCTTTAGCCACAAAGTCTTTCTCCACAAAATAAAAATAATTGTTGAACTTTATCAAAGCCTTATCTTGGTAAGTATCAGGCAATAACTTGGCTGTCTCTTGTGTTTTCAGGAAGATTAATATAAAATCCTAGGATGTCTCCCTGTCCATAACTAAAACAGTAGTGTTTGCCAGTGGACTGGTAGAACTTGATTCCCTTTTGCTGTGCCAAGAATAACTACATTTATCATAACCTAAGGGAGCTTGACAGTTACCTTAGGGCTGAGATCAACCCAGTCTGGCAGTGGTGTCTGGTGGCATCTCATTCATGGTGATTTCAAAGTACCAGGACCCTTTCTGTATCCCATGAGAGGTCTACACTGTAAAGTAGACCTTCTTTCCACCCACAGTCAGCCAGCCAGTCACTGGAGATCTCTAACTGGGGAGCTTAATCACTTTGGTCTAACAAAACCTGTTCATATAAGCAGGCTCTGTAGAGGTCTCTAGGAATGTTTTCCTACCCAGCAATTAATTTCAAACTTCTGAGGACCAACTGTGTGAGGATCAGGCTAAGTCAGAATATACCAGTAGCCACCTTCATTAAATGTGTGATCCAAGGGGTGTGAGGAGGACAGCACTGAACGGGAAACAAAAAGTCACTCTGGGCCTTCTTGGTGGTCCCTGTGGTCTCCCCATCCTGCTGTTTGCACTGAGTTCCTCTTCCTTTTTCCTGCTGCTTCCTGCTGCAGTTTCCCGACTCAGATTCCCACTGTAGACACAGCACTGCTTTGTTTTTGGTTGTCACAAACAGGTCAATGTTACCAAGTCCTGATCCAAAAGTCCAAATCTGGGGTAGTCTTCTTTCTGGTCTTTACACCCTGGATCCAGGTGTTCCTTTACCAAGAGCACATTTCTTTTTTTACTCATTGTTTTAACAATGTTATTCAGCCAAGTCATTTTCCCAGGTGTCTGTATGGTCATCATGCACTGCACAGTATTTATTAATAAATGGTATAATATCTTTATCTTTGGAGAACCTTGTCTTTGGATATTCATTCAATGTTCAGGACTGCCATGCCAGGTTGACCAAAGCACTAAGGGAAATTCATGTTTGCTTGTTGCTGGATAAAATATGCTACTCTCATGGCATGCTTTGCAGTAAAAATTGTAGTTGATCACGGCAGGTAGACAGGATGAGATTCTGTGCTAGATGTATCAGCTGTGAACCATTTTGTACAACAGCGGATGCCCCATGCCAGCTGGAGGGGCTGTTACTGCTGCCATCAGCTTTATCTCCCCCTTTTTTGGCAGCTGCTACATTTGCGGCTGCTCCTGGGCTGGGTCAGACACCCATCACTTACATCATGGTCACTCCCAGACTTTCTCACATTATTCTGAGTCACCTGTAATGAGGCGCTTCCAACTTTATTGGCCTTTCAGGATGCTGCAGGGCTGGCATAAAAGGAAGGGTGTCCTAAATACTCAGGCACACTCTCCCAGTCCTGTATGTTTTGATTGTTCTTGGAAGAGAAACTACACTGAATATAAATCTTCCTCTTTTTGACAATGGTAAATTATTCATACACAAAATTCATTATTTTAACCATTTTTAAGTGTATAGTTCAGTGTCATTGAGTAAATTAACACTGCTATACAACCACAGTACCACCATTTATCTCCAGAAATTTTTCATCTTCCCAAACCAAAACTTAATACCTGGAAAACATCATTCTACTTTTTGTCTCTATGGATTTGACTACTCTAGATACCTCATAGAAGGGTAAGCAAATAACTTTTGTCCTTTTGAAGCCAGCTTACTTCTGCTGGCGTGGTATCTTTAAGGTTCATCCATGCCATCGCATG